AGCCTTCTTCTCTCCAGGCTGAACAAGCCCAGCTCCCTCAGCCTGTCTTTATAGTGGAGGTGCTGCAGCCTTCTGATCATCTTCATGGCTCTTCTCTGGACCCTCTCCAACAGCAACGTGTCTTTCTTGTACTGGGGCCTCCAGACCTGCACACAGTGCTGCAGATGGGGCCTCACAAGAGCAGAGCAGAGGGGACAATCACCTCCCTGTCCCTGCTGGCCACCCCTCTGCTGATGGAGCCCAGGATCCTATTTGCTTTCTGAGCTGCAAGAACACACTGCTGGCTCAGGTTGAATTTTTCATCCACCAGGACCCCCCAGGTCTTTCTCTGCAGGGCTGGTCTCAAGGACTGCTCCTTCCATTCTGTAAGGAGCCTCATGTTCTTGAGAGGATGGCCCTTGAGATGATGCCAAGCTCCAGTTCTGCCTGGGTTATCCCCCAGTAGAACCAAAAAGCACAGCTTCAGTTTGAACACAACAAACTTCTTTGCAAGCTGTTCTGTGACAAATATTCAGAACATGTTTTGAACATCCTTTGCCTTCATCTCCATTCTCACCAGATGCCTTATTTCTCATATACATCCCCAAATGGGAGTTTTTGGACAGCCTTCTCCTGGAGACCAGCAGCAGCTCAGATTCCCAGCAGCATCTTATGTCTCTTGTCTGTCTTCTTGGATTATTGTAGAACACTAAGCTTCACAGTCCTATGCGCTTGTACTGACTCCAACTTAAAACTGTTTGGTTCTTTTGTTATCAGTGCAATCAAACTATCAAGGAAGCAGAATTCATCCACACAAGCAATTATTTTGGTCTGGGAGCTTCTGGCTGCACACAGCCACAGCAATTAACTCCATGTCACAGCCACACATGGCATCTCACTTCTGCTCATTAGCAATAACACCATCCTTACAGCTTCTGCACAATTTAGAGCGTGCAAAATACAGATGTGTCCCATCGTGTTTGCTCTGCCTCAAGTAGCCTGCAAGCAGCTGTGGAGCTGCTGTGCCCAATAGATCTGGGCACATCTAAGCGGGCTTTGGCACAGCCCTGCACCAAGGCTACATGCTGCAGGATTCAGTGTAGGCAAAGCCCAAGCACTGTTGTTCTTGCATTTGTCACAGTCTTCCAGAAAAAGTGGAAGACTGGGGAAGCTGCTGAAGGCTTCTGAGAAGTGATACTGCTTCTGTTAATTATACTGCGTGCACGCTCCCAGCTTTTCTAGTGTTTGCCACTGGAGAGAAGAGCTCATTTAGAGAGGGTGAAGAGATAAAGCAATTAAAAGAATAGCTGTAAGCCTAGCTAGGAGGTAATGAATGGTAGTGCAGCAGAATGCTAATGCTGTGTTCTGGCTCCCTGTGAATGGACGTGTGCAGCTCATCAGAGGAGTCCTGCTCCAGTGCACACATCTCTTCCCAAAGATTCTCCTCTGCAGCTATGAAAAATGTATATGGTACAAAAGGAGTTGTTAAAATCCCCTGCTAGAGCTAAATTAGTTTGGTTAACAGGCACACCTGACCTCTCCTCTTCTGCCATGAGGGATGAGCATCACTGTGGGGATGCAGCCCTGCTGATGGAAGCCCATGGAGCATTGCTAACCCACCTCTGGGCCAGGCCCCCACATCTCCCTCCTTCCTACTTCCAGGAATGGTTTTATGGCAAGGAAAAGCTCCAGGGTACATACAAATACAATGAGACACTCAGTATTAGGACAGGATTAGGTGTCCCTCAGGGGAGTGATGCCCTTTAATATCTTCAGCAGACACATTGACAGTGAGGTCAAGTGCACCCTTAGCATGTTCAAGGACAACACCAAGCTGTGTGGTGCAGTTGATAACCTGAGAGACAGGACGCCATCCTGCCATCCAGACAGGACATCATCCAGACATAGACAGGCTTGAGAGTGGGCCCAGGAAAACCTCATGAGGTTAAACAAAGCCAAGTGCAAGGTCTACACCTGGGTTGCGGCAACCCCCACTATCTGTACAAGCTGAAGGATGATGTAAGGATGGAGCACAGCCCCCCTGAAAAGGACCTGGGGTTTCTGGTGGGTGGCAGCTGGTCATGAGGCAGCAGTGTGTCCTCACACCCACACAGCCAACCGTACCCTGGGCTGCATCCAAAGCAGTGCAGCCAGCAGGACAGGGAGGGGATGTGTCCCTCTGCTCTGTGCTGTGAGACCTCGCCTGGAGCAGTGAGGTACTAATAGAGTCTGATCCTTGGGTTCCACCACAGGGCTGCAGTGGGGCAGTGGGGGCCAGGAGAGTTACAAGCTGGCTGCAGGGTATGGTGGTATGTTCAGAAGATCTGATATCAGAGGAGCTCTGTGCTGCATGAACTCAGTCCCAAAGCCTGGGCACCTGCCTGGCTTGCACAGCTGTCCCCAGCCCCATGTTGGTAAGAGGCTGCTGCTTTCCTGGGGTGTGCAATGCACATGGGCACACTGTAGCTCTGGAGGCTGTGCCTTACAGCTGCTCCACAGCGCAGGGAGTAAACAACTGCCAATAGAGCAGCATTTCCCAAGTGAGAATGATTTCTAAAGCCTTGTTCTGCGGCTAAATCATAGACCTATATGAATATATGTATATTTAAATGTGTGTGCATATGTGCTTGTGCATTATACACATAATTTGTGCATTTTTGGTGGCACTGACATCAGCAGTAATGTATCATTACCACCCTGTTAGTTTTCAGGCAGTTCCCCATAAAGCACTGCCAAAGCCTGGGTGAGCAGCCAAGACCACAAGTGACAAATCAATCCCTGGCAGCTCTTGCTTTGCCTCCTGCTTTGAATGGGAAGAAGGAAGGTGGAAGGGAGTGTTCACCATGGAGAGGAAAACACCACTTGATCATCTCTTTTCAGCAACAGCAGGATTCTGAATATAAGTTGCCAAAAGCAATTGAAATACATGACAGATTTTTCTGTTCCTACTGCCAGATGCAATAACCAGCATGGATGAGGACAGCAGGAGGGCTCTGCTGCAGATAGGGAATTTTTCTACCTCTGCCAACACTACGCACCAAGAGTGCAATAGCAATACTGCTGTGTTTTGAGCCAAGAACTGACCCTGGAATAGGATCATGGAACACGGTGCCATCCCCTAGCTGCATCTGCACAAAGCCATGCTCCTCACTCAGGCCCATCCAGCCACATCACTGATCTCCTGGAGACTTTTCCAAGGCCATCAGGAAGAATTAAGTCCCACTAATCCCTCGGCTGCTTTTGGGTGTCTCATTTTGGTTCTGCCTTCTCCTAACTGCACCCTGTTGACAACAGGTGTGCTGGGTGCTGTGTTCCCAAAAGAGCTATGTTCCTCTGAGCCATGGCTGCTCCTGCATTATAGGCCAACCTCATCTCCCATCCACCTGCCCAACTATTCTCCTGTCCATGCCCTTCCCAACCAAACCAACTAAAGACACCAGCACAGATATGCATTTTGTCCGCACAGGTCCCCTGCTCCTAAAACTGCTCCAGGAAATCAAATCCACATTTTGCAATTCAGGTGGCGATAGCAATTAGTAACAATCAGCAGGAACACAATTTTCTTCATTTTCCACTCTAGCTGTAATGTAGTTTTGATGGCAAACTTTGCTTTGTACACCAAGCAAATTCAATGAGAAGTATGAGATGGGGGAAGTTAAAAAACAGTGTTAAAGATGAATTGAATTCCTCTTTCAAATAACAAATAATTCAAATTCAAATGGCCTTTTGGAAAGATAAACTTCATATTGTCCTCACATGCCTCAGCTTAGGATCCCACATTCTTTCTAAGCCAAATGCAAACTGGCATGCCCAGGTGATGCTATGGATATCACCTGGATAAACAGGCACACAAAGAAGGAGGCAGCATGCCTCATTCCCCTTTATGATAGTTAAAGTTATTAATGGCCCACACTTCCAAATCTCATGGCTCAAGTGTTATTTTTTTACACTAAAATCCAAGGCACTTGGCTGCTCTCACAGCATCAGCTGCAGAGGAAGCAGACTGAAGCCCCTGAAATTTCTCAAATTAATTAGCTGATGAGTAGTATGTATCACACTGGTGTCGGGCACTGCTGAGCTTGGTGGCCACTACACATGTAGGTAAGGCAGGGTCTAGAGGCTTCATTCACCTGCTAGCTGAAGGCTCTGCAATTAACCAGGCTACTATTTTTCTAAGTGCTTGCTGCACTCATTTGAAATAAGATTACTCTTTTCATCTTCTTTTCTTTGGATGGATTTTTTCTCTCTGGAGGAATAGCAGTCTCTTGGAATATGACTCAGTATTGGCTTTCATTTGAGTTTCTGAGCAGACTCATCCATGCAGGCTTTTGAAGTATGATTCCCCTTGGAAGGAGAAATAACCCAGCAAGCTGCATCTCTGTGCACAGTGGGAGCAGCCAGGTGCCTCATTGAGCCTCATCTTTGGCACACTGTAAAACCAAAGCACACTTTGCTGCCCCCCACCCAATCACATCCCTGTGGGACAGTAAGTACTGTATTGCTGTGGCATTCACCCCACGCCTGGGCTCTGTGCAGACAGAAGTATGGCCACATAGGGACAGAACAGGGCAAGGTGCCCACAGTGAGGGCTGCAGGGCTGGGAGGCAAAGAAAGCGGTTGGTCCTAAATCCTCTCTGTTTGCTGTGGGCAAGACAGCTGGGCAGGGTGGAGCTCACACATTCACACTGTTACCTTTTACAGTGCAGCAAAGCTTTTAAATGGAGTGGAAAAGCAAAAGGGCCACTTAAATGTCCTCACAGCTAATACCAAGCATCACTTCAGATATCACAGAGATCAAACTGCATGAAAGAAAACAGCCTGGAAAACAAAAACAAACACACACACACAAAAAAAAAAAACGAAAAAACAAAACACAAAGAGAAAAGGAGCCACCACAAAGAGACACAGACCCAGCAGAAATGGAGACTTTGCAATGTTTGGCAAAAGGGACTGCATGCCTGCATCCCCTCTGCGGCATCCAAACACCGTGTGCCCTGCTCTGTGGGATGGGGGGAACTTACTTCGTGTTGTCTGAGTCGATGGTGTGGAACAGCTTCTCGAGTTCCTCCTCATTGAGCGTCCCATCGGAAAAAAAGGCCTGGAACTCCTCCAGGGACAGCTTCCCATCATCTGCAAACAGCAACACACAGGGTGAGAAGGGGCAAAGTGATGTGAAACCAAGATCTGTTCCCACATGGGATCTCAGAGGGTCTCCCTGTGGTTCTGCAGGACTGCCCTGCAGGCAGAGGCTATCCACTGCATGGGGACTTCTGGGGTCTCCAGCAGCAGCAGGGACAGCTGATTGCCCCTGGTGCAGAGACACTGGCTGTTAGCAACTAATTGGGTTAATTAACCCAAAGCAAGCCCAAAGAGAAAGAGCCTGCAACCTGCATTCTAAAACTTAATTACATAAAATAAATGGAGGAACATTTTGCTTGCCATATGTTCAGGATGCTCACTAAGGGATGTTTAACACACACAGAATGCGCCCGGGCTGGGCTTAGTGACAGACCCTGCAGTACCACCTCCATTCCATCTTCTCCAACACCAGACTGGACAGAAATACAAAATAGTAGCTAACAAACATAGCATAGCACATTTTGCTTTAGCTGCCAACTGTTTAAACACATAAGGGCTGTGTAACCTTAACGTTGTGCCTTTGCTTCGGCAGGGAGGTGGTGACGTACAGGATCCATCTGCCTGGCCATACGGGACAGCTCACAGTGCCTGCTTGGCAGAGCTGCAGCACACAAAGGAATTGTGGAATTACAGAATCATTAAGGTTGGAAAGACCACTAAGATCACCAAGTCCAAACACCAACACATCCCCACCATAACACTGAGTCACGTCACTCAATGTGACATCTCCATGTTTCTTGAACAATCCGGGGATGGTGACTCCACCTTCTCTCTGGGCAGCTGTGCCAGTGTCTCACCAGGTATTGGAAGAATGAGATTTTTTCCCCTAATATCCAACCTGAAAGTCCTCTGGTGCAACTTAAAGCCATCAGCTCCGGTCCTACTGAAGGAGTCACAAGGCGGAGGTTTAGCTGTGCTCTCCTGGCACCAAGAGCTGGAGCAGCAAGCAGCAAGCTCGCTGGCAAACTCCTTCTCACAGGTTTGTGTTGATGCCCCCTCCAGCCATGTGTACTGGGGTACTTTACCATCCTCACCTCCAGACTTGTGGGGTGGCCCTAAAGATGAAGATAGCTGCTGTCTGTGGGAAAGGCACTCTGCTCCCAGCTCAGATCAAAAAATAACCTCCAGCTGTAAAGGTCTGGCTACATGTCAGCTACTGCCAGGAATTCGGCCATTCGCAGCCTCAGAAGGTTGTAGACTGGAAATGTCGACAACTTTGCAGCAGGAGAATGATAAATATATAAATGATATAAATGATATCTTCATTTATTATTTAATCGAATCAGCTATAAACCCTGTTGCTGCTTTTTCAGGAAACGATGCTAAAAGACAAAATTAGCCAACTTACCACATACACCTCAATAATTCTTCTCTGAACTAAATAAGTCTGCTGCTCCTAAAACAAATTTGCATTGCCAAATGCTAACCCAGTTTCGTCTGCCTGACACAGATGAAGTTAGAGTGATGATGAATTGATTCTCAGATATCTGTTTAATTGGCAATTACAAAAGGAACACAGCAGGAGAACAAAATCTCAAACAACCACAGGTGAAAAGGGTGTAATTTTCTGAGCAGAACAGTGTCTGCAGAGTGCCCTCAGCTGCATTCCTTCCCCAAAACATGAACACATTTCTGCAGAGAGGTTGCAGAATGATGGTGCACCATCCCCTCATACATTCCACGGGATCAGGGCTCACTGCCCAATGAAGTTCTGTCCCAGAGCACTGGGTACTCAGGCACTGTGGGCTTCATTCCAGCTTTGGGACAGATGCCCATCGGCAGGGAAAAGATTCAAACTTAAGAGCGTCTGGAAAAAAGTACTTTGATTAATGATAGCAGATATATGAAGGCAGAAACCAAACAATGTGGTGGGGGGAGATATTTAAGCAAGTGCTTATTGCTCAGAATATCCCAGCTGGAGCAGGCAGTGGTACTTGAATGCCAACTCAGTGGTGATGCTCTTTTGCATTTAGAGGCTGCACCCAGGGCAATGGCCCATTCCCATGAGACACATCCACCTCCGCACACAGGAGGAGCAGTGCCACCACGGTGCTCCGATTTGGTGTCCTCACCAGGAATAAGGGCTGACTGACCCTGACTGGCAACGACTAACACCAAGCTCAAAAGGATAGTATTTTTCTGTTCCAGGAGATCTGAACTGTTCTGTGCTTTTGCTGCAAACCTGAAATCAGCACTTGCTCACCTCAAAGCTATGCTTCTTCATGAAGGGCAGACAGAGTTAATCTCCCAGGAAATTCTTTATGTCGACTTGCTGAGAAAGAGAAACTGTAAAGTCAGGCAACTTTTTTCAGTAAAATGCTTTAATCTGAGTTTACAGCTCATTTGCCTCCAAAAAGTGAAAGGTGCTGGAAAGATTCAGGAAAAAGCATTTTCCTTTACCTAGTTTCTTTCTTATAACTCGTCTATTTCATTTTACTCCTCCTTAGCTTTTCCCAGGTTTATTTATCTGGTTGCAAGAGTCAGTTAGTGAGCAGCAGCCCCACAGCAGCTTGCAGCTCTGGCAGCACGGGATGGCAACATCACAGTGACGCACTGCAACAGAAACACAGCACAGATCTGTGTGCTGAAGGCTTGTTTCAGCACCAGTGTGGAAATGGCCCCATGGCGTTTAAGCACACAGAGCCCTGATGGGCGAGTGAGGGATCTAGGAGAAAAAGGAGATGACAGTAAATTTCCTTTGTTTTTTGAGACCCCACAGAATGTGAATAGGGAAATGTGTAATTTTGACTGGCAAACAGCACTGGAGACATTCATTCCCCACTAGATAACACCACCAGCAGCAGCCAGCTTAAAGCTGATTGTTCTTTAGTGCAGCTTAAATACCTGCCTGCAAACGTAGAAGATAAAAGCAAGGCAGAGTAACGAGGTCATCCCAGGGCTGCCTATCTATAATTGCAACACCGACTGGGAGCAGCATGATGCTGGAGACAGCAGACAGGGACAGTTTCGGGGAGCACGAATGATAAGAGGAAGCAGAGGGGATGGGTTGTAGGAGGTCAGATTGAAGTGGTGGAAAATCCTGTGCAGGGAGGATGGTGGCCACAACACCATGGACTCACATCTGCGATAAGAACCAGAGGAGATGCTGTGCCCCAGGAGCGGTCTTATCAACAGCCACAGCAAAGCAAGATTGTCCTGACAGCAGCAGTGTCTGCTCTCACTGAGGGTAGATACGTCTCTGGAACCTGCTTTTCCTGAAAGCTGTTGTGTGTGAGATAGGAACTCTCCAGTTGGATGAACGTCTTTCCAAGCGTTTCCACGCAGCCTACCTGCAGAAGCTCCCATGGAAGCATTTCAGCCTTTAGAATGCATTTCTGCTTTGGGTAAGAAGGGTAATAGAAAAATTGAGACTCTGCACCAATCTCATTAAACAAAGTAAGTATCTGTAAGACCCAGAGAAACCAGAGCCACTTTTTCATGCAGATGAGCCTACTAAAGGCAGGCAACCTGCTCCACCTGTTCACTGCACCTTTAAGGGGCGAATCCCAGTCCTGTGGGTCAGTACCTGAGCTGTCAGCAAGGGCGAATGTCATCAGCCAGAAATTGTGTGCGCAGGCACTGAGCGACTGAGGAAAGAGATAATTGGGCAGCAGCTGCTCTGCAATCATTCCCTCTGCAGTACAACATCTTCTTCACACTCCAGCTTCTCAACATAATTCAATCACAGGCGAAGGCCAAAGCGAATTTCCAGACACACAGAGCCATCAAAGTTAAAACTAACTAGGGAGAGGAGGGCGTGATGGAGATCATCGGGCTGCCTTGCGGGGGTTTTACGATTGCTCCATTTGTCATTGTAACAACCTGACGAGGCTGGGAGCAGCTTTGCTGCTTTCTAACCATGCAGTCAGGCTGTTCCCACCCACTGATGAAATGGGGGGTGTATAACCAAGATGTTATAATGTATAACCAAGATGTTATAATTTGTATAACCAAGATGTTATAATTGCAATATAATCAAGAAAGTAAGGCAAAGCAGACAATGATCACAAAAGAGAATAAGTGGAAGAGCTTACCCTTGGGTTGAGCTCACCAGAAGATACCAAAAGAGGGGATCTCCAGAAGAGATCCTTCCCCTCTGGTAGCCAGCTCTTAAATAGGTCCAGGAGGGGTGGAGCCAGGCTCCACCCCTTCCGGCAGCACAGGTGAATTGCCTTCACCTGTGCTCCTCTGGCTGACTCAAGGCTCACCTCAGGTGATTAATCAGAGGTTCAGGCCGTGACTCAGCAGTTCCCATACAGGGGGAAATGAAGCCAGCGTCATAAATCATCCAAAATACAGCAAATGTGTTGGCTGAGTATTTGGAAATTCACTCGGAGATACAAAGAGCTTAAAGCAACTACAAAGCAAGATTCTGTTTGCTAAGTCCAGTTGGAACTGCTCATATATTACCTAGAAATATTAGAAATACATTTTGTACCTTATTTTTATTACTGTATGATCACTAAAATGCTTCAGTCCTGCTTAATACTCAAACTCCAACAGAACTATGGGTAAGAAAATCAGATTATTGTGACCTGTGAACAAAAACAACTGCTCTTTTTTCTTTTCTTCCTCTGAGTTATGTGTAGGTACAGAGGCCAGCAAGCACATGGCGTGCCTTCAGAATGGGACCCTTCATCCACCTGAGGTCAGCGGGAGGAAGAAGTAAATTGCTAGGATTATGGTAATTTCCCAGTGAAAAGAATGCTCTAAATGACTCCAAAATCACCTTTTTGCTCATGGCAGTTAGCTAACACCCAGCCCAGATGCTTTGCCAAGGGATGACACCAGGCTGAGTGATGCATAGATGTCCTGGGGCCAGAATGGTGTTCCTACCACCACCGAGTTCTGTTTGAAGCACTTCTGTATGTTTCCTAATGGTGACTGTGGCTGCTGATGGGAGTTGTTCCCATACAATGCTCTCACATCTGGAGATTTTTACTTCCTGTTTCTTCTCTCTCTGCACTCAGAGCATTCCATAGAGAGACAGA